AAAACTGCTTATCGCGCCTGAAATGCCTTTAATTAAACGACTATTCGGTTTTTGACTTTTTTATTTAATTTTTTATTTTTTGTTGCTCAACCGATTTTTATTTATTTTTTTTAATTCAGCACCAACCTGTCGTCGCACACAATTAAATTACAACAAAAAAATTAAAACGAAATCATTGTCCTTTCTGTTTCCGCCTTTCACTTCCGTTTTTTGACGTTTTCACTTTAAAAGTGCGCGCTACAAGGACGCTCGTTCGCTAGTCCGTTATTTTTAACACTTTGCTTTACTTCAACTGAGCACCGTTATTGTAAAAGAGCGTGCAAGCGTTATTTATAGATTTTTTTTCATAGTAAATAATCGGGAACGCTGTGGCGCCTATACCGCGGCTTTTCTTGCAGTTGTTGTAGTTCACGGATTTACTTTAATATTGCTTCCACATGTTTTGCTTGTTTCGCAGATTTTATTTTTACTTTTAAATTACTCGATCGCTCCTGCCTGTCATTCACGCCAGCAGAGCTGGTTGCCTCACTGGAGTCACGCGCTTCCTTTTAATTGGTTTCACTTTACGAAGTTATTATGCGCGTGATGTCGTTTCTGTCATCCTTTAACAGTTATGCCTTTGTTGCTGTCAATTTGCGTCGAATGGCTGGTAAAGGTTGGCTCACATATCAGCGGATTGTGCGACGTAGCTCAACTCGACAGCATTAAATTCGACTCCAGCTTGTTGTAGGTTGGCGTTGTTATTTTAATATTCGTTTGTGTCGTTATTACTTAAAGATTTCTGTATTTAATTGTTGTTGTTGTGCTTGTTGGTAGCAGCTTTTGAGTGGCAATTACGCTGCTGTTATTTAAATACCAATTGAATCTGCAAAGAATTGGAAAGAGATACGATAGATGAAGCGATTAAAAAGGAAATTACTTCAAGTTTCCTGAAATAAGTAAGTAAAATGAGATGTGAAAGCATTTTATTAAAATTTATAAATAATGTTATATGTACAAATGTAGTACTCAAGGTACCTATAAAATGAAATATTTCAGCGCGAATAAAGCACTCGGGCTTTCCTAGCCTGCGTATGCTCTGCGCGGGGGCAGTCACTCTTACCTAACCTAACATAATATTGAAATACGCGGTCGTGAAAAGAATTTTAATAAACATAAGTATTAGGTAGCCGATGTTAAAAATCGAATTTTTGTTCCTGTTAATAAATGTTACATATTAAAAGCTACTCAAAAATAATTATACCGCAACGAAACAAATTGGCCAAGAAAAATTTTTAATGTTCTTAACAAAAATTTTAAGGAATATCGTTGTGTGTTTCACTGCGCCTTAAAAGTATTTTTGTATTGTTTTCTATCCGCATTGAAATATTTAATTTAATTATTTATCAATAAGCAATCAGCTTTCCTATGCCTCTTTTGTTTGATAGCCGCATTGCAATATTTAAATTATATTATCAACTAAATTAAAATTTTCAAACAGGTGGCAACCTTCCACAAAAATATTTTCGACTATAGGCCTTCGTATACCTCTTTCTTTTGACACCAATATTCCAGTATTTACTTTATCTTATCAATTTCTCTAAAGTGCAATTTTCAAACAGGTGGCAACTCTCTAATGATTTTTTCCTATATTTTATGCCTAACTTTTAGTAATGCGCTGGTGAAAACTGCATTCGATTCCATGCATTAGTTTTCGAGTGATGCGCATACAAACAAACAGCCATGCAGACAAAAATTCTAAAACAGGTAACAAGATCAACGGAAATAAGGTCAATTGACTTTATTTCCCACCCTGTTGCCAAATAAAGTCAATTTACATTATTACCTTTTCAAAAGCGAAATAAAGTCTACAAAAAAATTCCAAATAAAGTCATTGACGCTATTTCCTCATTCAAATGGAATTTTCACACTGATTACCATCTTCCTCCCTAATAAGGAATAGATACATATATGTATACTTAAAAAATTACCTTGGCACACGAATTTATTTTATTTATTCGACTGAGCAGAAATTGGGTATATCAATCCTCGTCTGTTCGAGGCCGGCAATTTTTCTCCTTTAGATCAACAACGACGCATAGTGCGGCCGAAATCCCAAAGTGAGGCCAAAAGGAAACAAAGTTTCTAGGTAGGGCTTTTTCATAATTAAGTTGGCAAAGGGGATCCTCTAAGAAGTCTGTCCGTCCGTCTGTCCGTCTGTCCGCCTGTCCGTCCGTCCGTGTACACGATAACTCGAGCAAAAATTGAGATATCTCAACGAAATTTGGTATGTAGGTTTCTGCTCATCCAAGGTAGGTTGGTATTGAAAATGGGCGAAATCGGACTGTAACCACGCCCACTTCCCATATAACGGTAATTTCAAGAAATACGAAAACTGCGATATTTTAGTAACTACTGAAGATAATTCACTCAAAATTGATATTTACAATAATTTTCAGACGAGAAATAAGAATATTATAAATTTTTGGAAAATGGGCGTAGCCACGCCCACTTATGGTTACATGTGTATATCTTGGTAACCGCTGCACCAATTTCTACCAAACTTGGCACAGTTGTTGGCCTTGATACGGCATACTAAATGGCCGAAAATTTAAAAAATCGGACGATAACCACGCCCACATCCCATATAACGGTAGTTTTCGGAAATACGAAAACTGCTATAGTTTAGTAACTACTGAAGATAATTCACTCAAAATTGATATTTACAATAACTTTCAGACGAAAAATAATAATATTAGAAATTTTTGGGAAATGGGCGTAGCCACGCCCACTTATGGTTACATGTGTATATCTTGGTAACCGCTGCACCAATTTCTTCCAAACTTGGCACAGTTATTGGCCTTGGTGCATACTAAATGACCGAAAATTTAAAAAATCGGACAATAACCACGCCCATATCCCATACAACGCTTATGATCACATATATGTATATCCGTAACCGTTCTACCAATTTGTATCGAACTCAGTATTTTTACTGTGCTTGCCACATAAAAGCAAAACGTTGAAAATTATTGAAATCGCACTAAAATTACGGCCGCTTTTCATATAACGGTAAATTTCAGAAATGCTTGATACTGCAATATTTCGAAATTGAAGGACGCTAATTTACTCAAAATTGATACACCCCGGCTTACCATCTGCGGTAGGTTTCGGAAAGGTGAAAAAACATATATTTAATACTTGCGCCGGGTATTTAATGTTCGGCTCCACCCGAACTTAGACTTTCTTACTTGTTTGTTCTGTTTTTTTTTTACAGAATTGGAGTTGTTAAACGAAACAGTAATAACACGCTGTCAGATGCTGGCTTTAAACCTATTATTATTAGTTTTAAAAAGGCACATTTTTGGCGTAATTTTTTCATTTCAAATGTTCTCCTCAGTAAAAAGACAAAATATGATATAATGTTCGTTCTTATTTTGCGAAGATTACGTTTTAAAGTCTGTTATACAAGTAGTGTATTTTTAATTTTGTATGAAGTAAAACTGTTCCAAAAATGTTTGTTTTACAATTTGTTTTGAATACATGGGTTTTACCTGAATCATTTTCTCTGTGTAGATTTACCTGTATGTAAAAATTTTGGGCATTTTAATTAGATTTCACAGAAAGCTGAGACTTACGGTTGATCTTTGGCATTGGATAAGGCACTGCGACCGGTAGGTCTATTGTGCCCTGTTGAAGGTGTTGCTCATTTTCTTCATATCATCGAACATACTGCGTATGGAAGAAAATGACTGGCACTGTCAACAAAAAAAAATTCAAAAATTAACGGTAACTCCTAGCCACTTCAATCTTGCACTTTGTGATAAAGCTAAGTGGGCTAAAAACTGAATACTCAATATCTTTCTAAGAAATCTAATTAAATAGCTCGAAATTTACCAAACGCCATACTGCATACGCCATTTTGAGTTTTCCAATTCTGACAGGGGATTCGTGATAAGCGACCCCGAACACCCCCTAGTACAAAATTTCGAATCATTTCTTTAAAGCTCCGAATTTTGGCCGCACCTTTGGATTTCGGCTGCACTGTGCGATGGCAGCATGGAGCCACCGACAAGATTATTACTAGAAGCAGTCGTGTCACTAGCAAGCGTCCAGTAGCCGCATTTTTTTAGCCACAACTCTTATTTGAAGCCATGAGGGCCAGAGAAGCCTATCTACAAAAAAACATTTTAGGAATATGAGAAAGGAGGATCTATAAAAAATAATTGCGGTATTTTACTAAAAAGTTAATTTCCCCTACGTGATGCTACATATTAAAGTAAAAGAAATTTAAAATGGTGTGCCTCGGACTATTACCGTTTCAATTCTAGTAATGCATTTTAAGGTGCAGCTCAACATTTTTTGAAATTTCAGGCTACTCTAGCTAACAAGGCCTCATTTCAGAGCTTGGGATCTTATTTAATATAGATAGTCGAATCATATATTTGAAATAAGCATCGTTAGAAATTCTAAATTGAAACTCTCACGAGACTACTCTGAACTCTGGCACCGAGAGACTTTCCTAAGTT